AGGTGTTGACGTCTGCTTGAATGTTGAGGTAGAATGCGGATGATTGTACCAGTTGACTGAGGCTGCGTCTTCTGCTTCTGCAAAAACATAGCCATGCTTACGCAACTAACTCCAGTTCTCACACGCTGTCACGGATGAATGATGAAAATTTCTATGATATTTTGGGCATATACGAGAAGTAAAGTGCTACAGTCTATTTCAGTATCAAAAATAATACTTCGAAGTGCATACTTTCAAGTGTAACTGCCTGCTACAAATTATACCAAAACCGAATCTGTCTCTGCTGCGAGAGAGGCCCCGGATACTTCTCTTCTAGCCAGGATTCGACAAGAGCATCTGTACTCTTGTGGTATTCGCTAGTGAGGTCACTTTTCGTGCCGCGTGCGAATTCAGGAGTGAAAACCTCTGGATAGTTCTCTTGTAGGAACAATAAACTTCAAATATGCCGGAAGAAGTGTAAACCCACATGCGGTTCTCTTTCTGGGGAATGTGTGGATAATGAAAGCGAAGAAAGTAAGCAACTAGCAGATACGCTCCCATGCTCGACTCTTCGAATCGTGTAACCTTAGGATTTAGTGGCATGTAGCCACTCCAAGTATTTGTGTGCAGCAGCAGCGTCGATGGCTCCAGTTGTGCATCCAGCGTTCGTGTTCAAATGTAGCCATTTGATCATTTCCAAGTGGTCATTGCGAGCAGCGTTGTCCATTGCTTTTCATGAGCAATACGCAGATCGCGTAACATGTAGCCACTTCACTACTTCCAAATGGCCAATTCCAGCCACTCCCTCAATGCTTCACTAGAGCGTGCCCACCAATCGATAATCTGCTCCGTCTTCCTTCGTTTCGATCCTTTTTTTTACCAGTAACATGGCTGGTTGAGCTAAAGTCATGGAATTACTTCAAAATCGAGCTTTCGCTGCCTCGACTATCACAGAGTCGGCTGAAAAGTACTCGCGTATTCGCACGGATGCTCAAGTAGCCATTTGATACAGTTCAAATGAACGGAACGGGCTGGGGGAGGCCACGCAATTCTGGAAGCAGTGAGAAAAGAACACCATGATATGGCTAAATGGCTGTACTCCGCATCTATGCGATGCTGACGAGAAAAATAGTATTTTGTGAAGTAGCAGCCAAAGTCAGCAACTTCGACCTGGTCAGACTACTACTGCCTCTTGACAAGAGTATCGCGGAATACGTTTGTCATTGGGTGAAACTTGAGGTGGTCGAGCAGTTGTTACAGAGTACAGATATGCTCAAAAAAAGCACCAGGATTTTGCAGCCAGTATTATCTCCAAGGCTGCATACAAGGGGGATTTGGATCTGATTCAGCGGATTTCGAAGCTACACCATAGAAAAAAGAAAAAGGAGGATTGGATGGAACGCTGGGGGTGGGCTATGAGCAGAGCGTGTAGCCGTAGTGACCTCGCAATGCTTAAGTGGCTGGCAGCAGGCCCTGTGGTATGTGAAGGCTTAAAGAAGGGATTACTATATGGGAATCTACTCAGTGATGCTGCGGGAGGAGGGAGTATGGAGGTCTTGGAATACGTCTGCAATCTCAGCCTCACTGATAACAGTGGAGAGGCTCTTGTAGATCTCGCGAAGCGTCCGGGACCTTCCAGCCCTCTGGCATCAGTGGTACGCTGTCGTTTGTAGGTTTCCATCCACTTCCACTTGTTTCACTTCATGTGGATATGTACGTCCTTGATCATGTTCACATAGAA